TATTCAACTTGAACACAATCTTAAGCTTATAGACAATCAGGCGATATAATTTACTAGGACACAGTTAAGAAAGATCTATTTGAAATCAATATTTTAACTACAAAACATAATATACACAAATATATAATATATGAGTAATAACACGGTGTTCATTAGGATGTCTTTTACGGTGGACTCAACCTGACTTGCTCATATTGAGTACCTATAATTTGATTTGTTTTGATATTTACCTACTTGTACATAAAACCCTATTGACTGTACAATTTTAACCTGAATTTTGATATCATTCGGCTTTAAGTCATAATAAATTAACCGCGATATAGATGTGTTCTCAATAATTAGTGATTATTAATTATATTACCACACATACTATACGGTTTTATTTGCATTGGACATCTGTCTCCAAATATTGAAAACCATTCAATAACAATTCAAATAATGTTTTGATTATTTTAAACAATGTGAAGATTATGAAAATTTTAATATTTTTTTCTGAGATGTCAAGACTGTGTCTTCCACTCAAAAAAAAATTGTTTTCATGTCAAAAAAATTCAAAGTAGAATATTAAGCTATGTGTCTTCCCCAAATTGTGTTCCATTGCCCTATAACTTCCCGTGTGTTTTAACTTATTAGATTTAACGATCTCTGAAAAAAATTAGTTGTTGTTCAATATTTTATTATGAATTAATTATTTTAATACAATTTTGAATAATTATGGCATCCTAATTAAATGCCAAATTTTAAAAATTCGTATATCTTTTTTGGCTTAAACGTTTTTTTTTTTTTTTTAATGATCTTTAAAAGTGATTTTGTAAATACATATATTAGACTGTGCCAAATTTTTAACATCGTTTGATCAATTTTAAATAATTTGTTTACCGTGTTATTTTTATGTAAATTTATCAAAATACAATTTGTTGTTAAGAGTGAACAATTTGAATTTCTACAACGTTCGTCGTTATCGTATTACTATAATAACAACGTCCATGTTAATAGACACTACGCATAACAATAGCTAATGAAAAAAATACCGTTTGCTTTGAACTGATGTCCAATTAACCGTGTACATAAAACTGTTGAACGAATTACATACTGAGCCATATTTATTTCTTAAAGTATAAACTTTACATTAAATATGTTCATTTTTTTTTTTTTTTTTAAAAAATAAAAGCATAAATTAATGCAACCGAAAATTATTCATCTTTTTAAGATCAATAATATTTTCTTTTTTGTAATCRATTGTTTTGTGAGATAAATAAATACTTATTCATTTATTATAATACACGTTATTAGGGGCTTTTATTTATACGTTTGTTTGATTTTATAATACTATAATTGAATTCATATTTTTTTTTTTAAATAAATCTAAAATATGTTATGCAAAATGATAAAATTTATCAAAATAAAAATAAAAACCTAGTTCAGTATAAGAATGGTTTTGTAATATTTTTTGTTTTTGTGAACAATCATGAATCCATTAACACAATGATCAAACTTAAAATAATGCAAGTGTTTACATAAAATAATCTTTACACATGAACTTGAATGTTTTAAATTTTCTTGTACATCTTGTAAGTGAATGATTATTTAAAACATTTAAAATACATGATCTCGTTTAATCAAGTGATTATATAAAGTTTTCAAAAATTTAAGTTTACTCATGATTAAATATTTCATAATTAATTATAGTTTTCTGTAACTATCTGACAATTTGTATTTTAGCACCTACGCAATATGTTAAATGATTCTGTTTGATCTTTTATAAATTTCCTAAATCCCGATAAAAAAATTAAAACAAATGAATGATCGCCGTAAGGCTTAAATGACGACATTAAACAAATTCTATATGATTAGCTACTTTTTTTAGATTTTAATAATTACCTACCTATTTAATTTTGTTAAGATTATTAATTCAGTTTGAAAAAGTGTAACTCGATTTATAATTTATGTTTTTAACTCTACATTAGAACGATTAACAGATAAAAAATAATATTTTAAAATGAAGAGAAAAATGCATCTATTTTTTTTTCATGCATGATCAATTATATTTAATTTAAAATAAAAATGAATGCTGGTTATGATGGTTACAAGTCACAATGAGTTTTTACAACTGCCAATTAAAACGGATAATAGATTCACTTTTTCTTGATTAAAGCCTCTCTTATACATAAAATATCAACGCAGTAGTAAAAATAAATTCGTTAAATTGTTGAAAACATAGTTTTATTTTTTATATTCATTAAAAATGCATTTTAACTATGGTTAGATTATATTACATAGATTTTTTWAAATATATTGTACAAAGTTATATAGTTATTTATTATTTTATTTGTTTTATTTCTGTAAAAATGTGTTGTTAAATATTATTATTTTAGATTGCATTTCTAGTAATTAAGAGTTATGAATAAATACTTTTTTTTGTATCATCACTTACTTAAAATATAATTTTTAGACAAAAGCTTGTCAAATGGTAAAAATACATATATTTTTTTTTTTTAACAAATGATTTAAAACCTTAATCAGAAAAATTATAGACATTAGTGTTATTTTCACTCATAAATACAATAGTTCGATTTAGTGACGTAGTGTGCTTTACTTAAGCATATTTTGGTAACAGACAATCTTTTGATGAATTTTTTTTTATTTAATTAACCCTTAGTCGTTGTTGGATTACAACCAACGATTTAATTGTTTTTTCAAGTTGAAATTTGAACTTGTTTTTATAGCTAAAAATATAAGTATTTTTTTATCGTGTTGAATGTCGAATGACGCCAAAAGCCCTTTATTATACAAAATATAAACGATTACTCACTCTGTACATCTGATATTAGTGTGTTATTTGTTGAATGTTAATTAAGATTATTTAAATATATATAACACACACACACACACACACACACCTATATAATATGTTTTATATTATAAAAATATATACATATTATACGTATTTACTACATTATATAAATGATATTAAGTGTGTATTGTATTTTAGACAAGTCTAAAATTTAACATAAACTGTATACATTTGAGGTACCATTGTAAAGCATCGGTGATTTTGTTTTTATTTATTAATTACTATAAATAGAACGCGTTTTTTGTCCGAATAATGTTTTTGACTTTGTATTTCGTCATTTTTTCGAATTGTTTTTTTATATGCATGTAAAAAAATATATTTGTAAATGTTTTATTGTACATCTTCGTTACAAAACACTTGAATAATAAATACAATTAAAAATAACTATCATTTATTTAAACCTCTGCAAACCAATAGAAGAAAAGTTGTCTTTGTTAGTTTCAGATTTTATATGGTTTATTTATTTTTTAACAGCAAATAATGTTATTAGCACAACAACGATAACATAAAAATATAGTATATAGAATAATAAAATAGTACCTTTTTACATACTTGAGTTACGTATGTAATAGAAGTAACATGATACATTTTTGAGAATAATTGTCAAATTTTTAAAATTCATAAGTATATATCACAGTTCATTTAATACAATTTTCAATATATAAAATAAATTAACAAAATCACAGTATATAAAAAGGTACTATTTTATTATTCTATATACTAGTATATATCACAGTTCATTTAATACAATTTTCAATATATAAAATAAATTAACAAAATCACAGTATATAAATATATAGTAAATTTAAGTATAAGTTTTGAATAAAACATGGTTATTTAAAGCACGTATATAATTTAACAAGTATTTTAAAGGCGACTTCATGTTAGATTTAATTATAATGGTTATTATAAATTATAATAATTTATTAATTAAAAGCTAAAAACACTAGACACATTTTTGTCTCGAAGAAAATAAAAATCGRCAGATACATTTATGCAATATTATTGTTATGTCGGAGAAACATCAGACGATAATATTTTTTTTCTATAATTATAATATAATATAATAAATTTATAATAAATTACATGTTTAAATTCTGTATTTATCAGAATATATTGTGTRGGTATACTTTTATTTTYAMTTATGAAAACGATAAAATGTACTTTTATCCACAACTTTTGATACCGATATTTTGATTTTTTTTTTATATGTCATTCTAATAAAAAACTACAGCAAGCTTATTAGTTTTTTACTGGATAAATACCATGGTACATTTAGAATTGTAAAACACTACAATCTTTAATATTTCTAATATTTCTCCTATTACTAAAATGTATCCGTTGTAATTTTTTTCCACAAKTTTATTAACTGATTCTAGACAAAAATCGATCTAGTGATTTTTACAATATATATTTTATCATAAGTTTATAATTTATAATATTTAAAGAGATATAACCCTTTAATATAATAACAATCAAATGGTTTATATTATTTTATGTTGTTTGAATTTAAAATTAAAAATATATTAGTAAAACATAGTTCAAGCTATTCTTAATTATAAACGTCGAATATTTTAGTCCTGAGCTGGTTTCATTTCTTTTCTAAAACAAAATATATACAATTTTTAGTATTTATCACACCWGAAATTAATTAATTATTAACGATCAAATCGCAATTTATATGCACATTAATATAATTMTAATGTAAAATAGTTAATATATTTTTAATAATTGCTTCAATTATATGCAAATATTGGTTGTACCTACTAGATTATGATTGCTGATCAATAAAAAATGTATTTGGACAATTAAGCATATTATGTAATAAGAAATAGAGTTATAGAATCATAACAATAGTCTTTAGAAGTATAAAGGTAGCATTTATTTTTTAATTGATGTCTTAAAAAAAATTAAATTAAAAAATTAAACAAAATTTACCTATATGAAAATTATATTCAACATATTATTATAATTTACTAATATTAAGGAATGGAAAAACTGTGAATCAATTTACAATTATATTTTACGAATGGGAGAACGAACAATATACAAAAAGATAATATTTATTACCTAGCATTTAAGTAGGTAAGTGATTTACTATTTTATCGATCTTACTAAAGTAAATWAACACGATTTAAGTATTTACCTAGACAATTTATTTCCGATCTCTGTCCGGTGTAGTYGACTTATAGAATTTGTGTGTTTTTGTATCCCGAGTGTGTTTAAAAGGCGCTTGATTTCTTTCAATTAACGGAACAGGGCATGGGCCGCTCACTCTCGGTTTATATTCGTTTCTGTAATGACTAATAGTTGATTCCATTGACGAATCGCCGAGACTGATATATGACCTGTTCGTAGATGATCTCGACACCCTATCTTGTCGGTGCATAGCACTAATACTGTTCCGATTGTCTGGAGGTGATACCACAAATGTCGAGTCCAACGTATTGATGCTCTTTCTTTGGGCCGCAGCTGCCGAAGAAGTGGTATGGGGCGCTTCGATATGCGTCACATCTCCTTTGCGGTGCAACACCGAATTGCTTAGATCGGTGTTGGAACTTATTACGGACTTACGGTGATGAGATTGGTCACTGTGTGTTTTCCTATCGAAAATGGATGTATCGATGTTCAACACGTTGGAACTAGTGCTGTGCAAAGACTTCCTGTACGTTGCGGTGGAATAACTTTTTACTTCACTGCCGTGTGAGCGATTTGTAGACTGCTCGGATTTTTGTTGCGATTTAGAATGATCCCGATTGTATTCATTCAGATTTTGACTATTGGTCTCATACCTGTTGTTTCTGTTTAATTGTTCATTCGATAAAGATGACTTGCTTGAATGCAAACCCGAAGAATAATCACGGCTCATCGAGTTGTTCTCATTGGTATTAMCACTAACAAATGATTGTCTACCTACTTCGGTTTTGAAAATTTTACTCATTTGATTATTTGAAGAATGCTCAGAACGCTGCTCTGTAGATAACGTTTTTCGATGATTTGTAGATTTTTCGTCAGACAGACTTATAACAAAACTTTCAGGCCGTCGAATTTGGTCACTGTTTTTCAAATTACTAGTGGTAATGCTCTGTTTATAGTTTTGACCACTGATTTCGTTGGTATGTTTTTGACTAGACTGACTAATGTTTTGAAGAGTTCTTTGCTGTGAAGAATAATTTTTACAAYCGTTATCATTCAGATGCCCGTGTCTGTGTTGTGTAGTTTGTACTCTGTCAACAAGGTTATCATTTTGTAGTCTATCAAGATTTGACTGTCTTCTGGATTCTTGAGACTGCCGTGAAGAGTAAATATGTTGTTCATTTGTTTGACCATGCCACTGATTTGAACTGCTGACATTTTGTGAAGACATCTGGTTATGATGATTTGATGAATGTTGACGAGTTATATTATCTGAATATCTTTGATCGTTGATCTGGTTTAATTGTTGCTTCGATGATGATAAATTTTTAGTACTGCTTAAATCTGTTGCGGATCCTTTTAAATAATCTCTCTTTTGAGAAGTCTCCCATTTTTTTCTTTCCACATGTTGTTCAGATTTTAAGGTTTTTTGGAACGTAGAATTAGATGATTGTTTCACAACTCGATTTTCAATGTTTTGTGATTCGGCTGATTGTCTTAGTTCTCCTTCAAATTGTGATTGTCCATATTTGACACTAATTTTTTCATTTGTATTTGAATCTTTAGCATAATCTCCCAAAGAAATTTGAGATTCAATATGCTTTCTAGTGTTCGTATTATTCTGCTGATGTTTGTTGATTGAAGAAAAGTTTTCAGTATTTGAAGAGGAATGCGATTTTTCAGTTTGATTTATTCGTTTGTGGTCGCTTACAGTTTGATTATTTTCAATTATTTTTTGAGTATATCCAGAATCTAATAACTTTTGATCGGAATGTATGTTTTGGTTGGTAAAGTTCATTGTTCCTTCAACTTTTAAATTATCCTCATGTTTCCTGATTATAGCTTGCTCAACCTTTCGAACTGTATAAGTTCGATCTCTTTTTTCAAATTCTCCTTCCATCCGTAAATTGTCTTGAGGCTTATAAGCAAGAGTCCGCTCACCTACAATAACTTTTCGTACGACTCGTTTTTCAAAATCACCTTCTGATTTTAAGTTATCAGGGTGCCTTATTTGTTTTGGACGTTCACTTGGTCCATAACTCTGTTGAGATGGTCTATCAAATGTACCTTCTGTTTTTAAATTATCTTTAGGTTTTACAATAGGCGCTCTGTCACCAGGACCAACTTTTTGATGTATACGTTTTTCAAATTCACCTTCTGGTCTTAAATTATCTGGATGTCTAATTTGTTTTGGTCGTTCACCAGA